CTCATTCTTCCCAATTTAGATGTTGAACATAACGAAATATTTTGCAGTCAATCAGTGCCCTCTGGTGGCAACAAAAACGTCAACGATGAAAAGCGTGTAACAACTACTTCGCAGCATCGTTGGGTAAGGTTGTTACAAAAGTACAAGACTATAATTGTTATTAAATTAATCCCATTTACTTACAGAGTAGCTCGGTCAGTGAGAAACATGAAAGATTTAAAGTAAATAAAAATTTTGTAAACCTCTTAGAACATTCTATCCTAAAGCTAATTTTGGGGTTGGAATATCCTAATGGTATAATCATGATGTAGATAATCTGTCTTCGTGTAAGTGTTTTGTTGTTTTGTTAATGTAAATTTCAAATTAATTTTAAATGGCTTGATTGTTTTTTGTGTGTTTTGCACATTGACACAGTTTGGCTAGTGGCGCTTTTGTTGTATACGAACTTAGACTGCCAGCTGTGGTTGTGGTAAGATGCTGGTACTCTAAAGCAAATAAATTACTTTCACAAGAAATTGAATGTTACATTTGGTATTTGTTGTTTTCTAACAGCTAAAATTTAGCTTGATGATTTATCTATCCTCAGATACAGCGTGTTAGAATTGATTTGTTTACAGAGCTGCATAAAATCCCTTTATATACGACAGTTCTGTAACGTGGCAGTCAAAGAAAGATTTGCATACCTGAAAATATGTTTATGGAAAATCAATGTGATGCACGAAAAGCTAAGCAAACCAAAGTTGCATCTTATTAGGGAAACAAGCAAATCCAAAGCCCTGACAAACCATATATTTATCCATCCATTTTTCAACCACTTTATCCAAATCAGTGTCACAGGGAACTGGAGCCTATCCTGGCAAGCAATGGGCACAAGGCAGAATACACCCTGGATATGACACACGTACACCACAGAGCAGACAGACGCCAACATACACAAATTTTCCCAGAAGCCAATTAACTTACCAATATGTCTTTGGACTGCGGGAGGAAACCAGACTGCCTAGATGGAACCCATGCAGACATGGGGACAACATACAAACTCCACACAGACAGATCCACAGGTCCAGTATTGAACCAAGGGTCCCAGCACTGCAAGGTGCTGCAAGTGCTAACCACCGTGCCACTGTGCCCCCCTGTCTCTTGATCAATGTAGAATATCGATCTTATTTGGCTTCATGTCTCATTTTTCTATCTCTCCTCCCTTCACAATTATGCCAAGGCTGAAAGTGCACACTGCAGCACAGTGAATACATTTGGTAAAACTGGGCACGGGGTCGGAGCTGGACTACAGGATCCATGAGATAACCTCTGAAGCAGCAACACCACCTGCACAGAATATGGTACTTAACCTACGTTTTGTGATTGCCATCTCTAACCTACAGTATGTTTCCTACGATTGCCATCTCTCAAAACTCCCACAACATCTACAGTGCAGCTTCCTCCAGAAATTTTCAAATGAGAATGAGCTTAGTCTCTTATATGAGTAAACAGGAAGTTACTACCCTTGACAAACTCTATGATTCCACGACAGGCCAGTGTTTCCCAACTAACTGTGAAAACATAGACATACTGTAGTTTCCTTGGGGGGGGGGCTTGCTGTGTTTGGCATCACGGTTTTTTGACAGGTAGACAGACCATCTGTTATGTGATAAAGGTGGAACTTAAACGTCCATGTTCATGTCCATGTTTGTTTAGGTCATCTGCTCATACTGAATAAATTAATTTAAACTAATTTAAGTTAAATAGAATTAAATAATTTTCAGTAAACGTATTTAGTGAATTATATGATTTGGTCCTTTGTTCTAAATCAATATTGACTGCTTTTTTGCCCTATTCCTTTTCTAAGGCTTAAAAGGCACATTTCCGTCTTGCTCCAATATTTCTGAAGCTCCATATGTCACATCAGTGTTGGCTGTAAATGAAGGTGACAGGGGACATTTCTTATGAATGCATCATAGTCGTTGTTTTTGAGAAGAGCTGTTTTGCTTAAAATACGACAGCTCAGAAAAGAAATGCATCAGAGATCATAAAACTGTGTGACATCTTTCATGGACATATGCCAACATGCAATGCTTTTCTTCTTCAATGAACCCAATCAGCTCTAACACAGTATTCTGAGAAGTGTTTTAATGGGATCTTTAGTCATACCGATAGTTGGAATTTCCGATACTGATAGAAGGAAATTTGAGGGACTTTTGGAGAAAAAAATAATTTAATGCATACCTTCAGAACTTACTGTAAGTTCAGGCTTTTCAGTATAACATAATAATAATAATTATTATTATTATTATTATTATTATCTGGCTAAATCTGGCTAAGCCACAAGACCTTATGAACAGGAAATCCACTTGTCACATATGTTCTCAAAACAACTGTTTCCTGCAGGGTCTCATGCCCTCACACCTTCGTGGAAATAAAAACAACAGCAGGGCAAAGCATCAAGTGGGTACATGCACACTTACGAAAA